GTGAGTGTTGTCTTCTTGAAGTAAAGTTGTCTCTGATGAATTTACAATACAAGTTCTTCAGCGATCACTGAACATACTCAGTGATGATCGCTGGAACTGAAAATACAGAAGCACAAATACAACGTGAAAGGAAAAAGGGATTATCATCAAATCACTGAGAGAGAGGATCAACACATAGTGTTATGACTCATCATAGAGCAAACCATGTCCAACAAGGTTCTATTTCTTCTTTTGGACACACCATTTTGTTGTGGTATTCTTGTAGAAGTTAGTTTGGATACTATCCTACAATCTCTAGAATGATCAATAAACACTTGGTTTAGATATTCACGACCTCAATCCAACCGAAGTACTTTTATCTTTTTGCCAAGTTGATTCTCTACTTCATTCTGAAACTCTTCAAATATCTCATAGCTTGCAGACTTGTTTCTCTTTAGGTAAACATATCCATATCTATTGAAGTCGTCAGTAAAGGTTATGAAGTAGCAATGTCCATTTCTTATGACTGAAATGAACGGCCCACATATATCAGTATCAATGATTCATAACAATTATATAACCTTATTGGGTTTGCCTTTCAAAGGTGCCTTTGTCATCTTTTCTAATAAACAAGACTCACATGTATCATATGAATCATCACATATATCATATGAATCATCACATGATTCCAACACTCTGTCTGCCTGGAGTGTGGCTATGCATTTCTTATTTAAGCCCAAGTAATTCTGTTTTAAGCCCCACTTAATTTGTTTATGGTTTACTTTGTTATTGATTCGTAATACATTTATTTTGTATATCAATTTCATAAATACTTGCAACAAAATGCAAAACTTTGTTAAGGTAACCTGGAATTGTATTATTACTACAAGTAAACATAAATCTAGTTTGTTGTAATTGAGAAAATGAAATTATATTCCTAGTAACGCCAGGTATATATAAAAAGTTGCTAAGTGCTAAATTAATCCCCTTTGGTAACTACATACCATATGTTACTTGAGTAACAACAACTACCTTAGCTCCATTGTCCATCCTTATTTCCATCTAGCTTGGTTTCATTGTCTTTTCACTTCTTTGACGCTATAGAGTAGTACAAAAAGAATCGAATGAACTAAGGATGACTAGTTGGTGCAACCGAAGCTTGTGTTTAATTGGTTCGTTTATAATCTACTCAATAACTTATGTTGTGGATTTGAACTAAGTAAGCAAGCTAGGTTGGAGAAATGAGAAACTGTTTTCTATTTGCCTATCATCCATAATAAATTATTTGTGTTCGTTAGTTTAATTCTAATTAGAAAATCTTTTAATCGATATAACTTATAAGCATGAAATGATAAATATTTTATTTAAAAAACATAAAAAATACAGAAAAACGTTTTTACTCTATTTTTCTTTTACTTGAATCTTGGTCATTTTGAGCTTCAGTTTGCGAAATAATTTAGTTTGCGAAATTGAGGTTTGTTGTAGGCTTGTAGGCCTGCAGCGACTTAATGGCTCTAAGGGTTCATAAGAAATTAATGTTATTAATTGTTTTTCTTGAACGGTAAATTGAAAGCCTACACTTGTGTTTAATAAAATATCCAAACTTCAGTTTTTTAATCAACGCCTTTTATGCAATTGATTAACATATACTTTGATATCAAACACGATTGCACTATAATTGACTTCGTAATGTGTATTGTTGAAATTTCTACCTTGGTTAAAAGCTCTAATCAAAACGTAATCAACAAAGCTTCTCCTTCGAACCCTAACACAATCATACATATCTTTCACTCAACGCATATTACACACAATAACAAGGAGTTGATTTCTTACCAATTTTAACTCTTTTGTGTGATTTATGAGCCAGCTGATTAAATTGAATGATTCCATTAATATAAACACGGGGTCAATGACGAGTAGTCACCAGAGGGGCCGTTTTTATATGCGGGGTCCTCTGAATACAAATACATTAAAACAACTTTTAAAGAACATTATTTGCCTCTGCAAGAAACAAAGTATATTTCATCATTGGAATTTTACATAAACGTTTCTTGTTAACAATGCGTTAAACTTCTTACATTCACATTAATCATATGAACATATGGTATCTTTGACATTTGGCCTTTATGAGATTAGATCCATTTGCGTACGTGCTCGGATTATGGTTTGTTTGTGTTAAAGGCGCTTTATATGGTACACAACAAGACACGATAACACCAATAAATTCGAACTTTGCTCTTGTAGCTTGATTATAAAAATACTTACGTTATTTTATGCTTGTTCAAAATTGAAGTTTATAATTTGGAAACAACACATGATTCAGATAATAACACAACACTATGTGACCTAAAGAAAACAAAAATGTACTTAAAAAATAAACATAAAATATGTATATGCTTAAAATTAGGGATGTCAGACCTAATCATTGAATCATAGTTTGGCAAGTGCAATTTCATGTGGGTATTGGTTGGTATGTATAGGTTAACATTTGCGAAAAGGAAAATCTATTAAGCTCTTGCTTGATTCATGATCTCTAATACCACGTCTAAATAAACAGAGCCATACCAAATCGCAACTTGCGTGCGCGGACATACACACACATATATATAGGGGCCTATTCAAGGGAGAACTAAGTTGTTTGTGGTAACCGTAAGAACCAATCTCAACCAATCATTTTAACATATTAATTATACAATTAAAATCAAATTAAAAGGGTATGTTAGTCAATTCCTAATTTAAAATTAAATTTTAATTTTTTAAATGCAACCGTTTCAAATAAAATAAATTAATATTGATTTACATTCCTAAAATAAAATATTAATATTATTTAGTGAAATAATTTCAAAAAAATAAATCCATTTGTATAAACATGTTCATTATTCYGATGAATCACATGAAATCACACATATTTGTTGAAGATTGTATCCATAATATTTAAGAATGTTATCACAATGTATCACACCAATTTGTACTAATGTTGTTAATACATCTGCAGATTTTATGTAGTAAAGGTGCTGTTACCACAATGTAGCACAAATTGATTATCACAAATTGATTATCACAATGTCCAGTCAAATATTATTACAAATATTATCACAATGTATCACACCATTTTCCAACAGATTATGATCAACACTAAATGTACCACAATGTAGCACAAATTGAGATTACTCTAGGGCTTAAGGCAATCGTCTCCGTCTCAAATACAGGAAAGTATCTTCACTATATTTGAATTCCAATTGAACAAGAATATTAACGTACACAATGACCATCTTGCCCTTGTTCATAAATGTCATTAAATGACAGTAATTTATTTATAGAAATACATTAATTAAGATTCTTTTTAATCTTACCCATTGATTATTATAATATGTGGTTGAGATTGGTTCTCACAGTTACCACAAACAATTCAGTTCTCATTTGATTAAGCCCCTATATATATATATATATATATATATATATATGGAATTGTTTAAAGAAGTATACTTTTATTTTACGAAAACACAAGAACATTCTTTATTATAGATAATCACATGTGATACTATATTCCATTACATATGATACAAATGTGATATTAGATCAGAGACGAGGACAACTTTCGGGCCGATGTAGGTTGCGGGCCAAGTCGCCCTTACACCACTAAGGCACTGTTTGGCAATTGATGAATGATTTGGTACATAATGATTAAGTGGTCAGAATGATTAAGAGGCTCTCATGATATAGTGCAAAATGAATATAATTTTTTTAGTAATTGTGTACAATGAAATTAGGGCTCTTAATGGTTAAGGGAGATCCATGATACAAAATCATTCAGAGGGTTTTAGAATCATTAAGATACATATTTTTTGTTTACCAAACAAGATTCACCTCTTAATGATTAAGAGGTTGCCTCTTAATGGAACTATTAAGAGGTAAACAAACAACCCCTAAGCTCTCTCATGTGTATTATCACATATGATAAGATGTTCTTCATGTGATAATATAATCCATCACATGTGATACTATATCATAGATGCAAACGACCTTTGGTGTGACCTAAGTTGCAGGGCAAGTCCTCCGCACACAACCACATCCCCTCACATGTGATAAGAGTGTTCTTGCGTTCTTATAAAATGGAGGTGTTATCGTTTGAACCTCCACCTATATATATATATATATAT